CCGAAACCAAAACCCTAGACCCCCCCTCTACGATTCCACCTGCCCTTTTCACCGCAACGCCTGGAACTGCCTCAGGAACAACAGATCCGGCATGGGCCTCCTCAATTCCTGGTCCTGGATCCCCGACGGGGGATGCGAGCTCCCTCGGGTTGACCCGGGGGCGTTTCTTGATTCGGTGAGGGGGAGGAAGATTGGGTTCGTCGGGGATTCTTTGAATGAGAACTTCGTGGTTGCTTTTCTTTGCGTCTTGAGGTCGGCCGACGGCGGGGCGAAGAGGTGGAAGAGGAAGGGGGCGTGGAGGGGAGGGTATTTCCCGAGGTTCGACGTCACGGTGGCCTATCACCGGGCTGTGCTTCTCGCCAAGTACACGTACTTCCTTATTCTGTTATCATTATCATCATCATCATTTGCGCAAATTTAAATTCCTGAAATGTCTGGACTTACACTATAGCGCGGTTAACATCACAAAATTCCAAATCAGCATTAACGTAGCAATTACTATTAAGGAACTGCCTAGTAGGTAAGAATGGAGAGAATATGTAGGGGAAAAACTCGTTCAAATGTGTGACCTTTTTATCAAACATGCCAATTTACCTGATGCCTGTTGGTCATGGTGGGTTAGTGAAAAAATTTTGTGGTGTATTTTTCTAGTAAGAATAATTTATGACATTTTTATGCAATGCCGTTTGTGGTGCTTTTGTGAAACTTGTCTTAATATAATTTGCTGGTTAGTTGAGCGATGTAGTTAATTGGAATGAGATGAATGGAATTCTATATGATTGATTTAGAATGTGATAGAGAATGTAGGTTTGGACGACTCAGGACCCAACTTAATTGATGTGGATAATAAATCAAAGCAACCTGTGGTCTGTCTATAATAGGATTGTATACATGCACTACCTCTAGTATTCTACAATATATCAGGATGAGAAAGTTTGGTGCAACTTCTTTTTGGATATCCATTTAAGCTTGCATAGGATCAATAGGTCGTGGTATCCTGAGGATTAACCTCAGCATTGTAAGCATTAAATGTCATGTCATGGCACCCTTTAAATTTTCTGATTATTTTGATCTGCTACTAACATGTTGAAATAGCTTTATGCGTGTGAAGAACCTTGAAGGTCTTAAAAATCAGGTCCCTTCTGATTTGCAAGGTTGTTTCCGTCTGTTAGAGGACGTGTTTTCAGCGGCGGAGGTAGAAATTTTGGCAAAGGGGTACGAAAAATTAATAATTAAACACAATAATATATAAATATTTATGCATGGTTGATTAATATTTAAACATCATTACATAACAAAGACTTTCAAAATCAAATTTCAAGCTAGAATATAGTGTTTACAAAATTATTCTTCTTGCTTTCATTTCGTGAATCTGTTTCATGGTGTGACGCCCCTGGTTTCATACAAGGCTGCAGTCCAAGGTAAACCCAAAGATGTCAAACCTGTCATGCATCCACACCGTGCAACAACACGTTTCATCATCACAGTAAATATCTTTAGTGGAATCAACAAATAATCAAGTGTAGGTACAAAGAAGATAAAACAAAGATAAGAATGCAATGAACATGATATAGAGAAAAGATATCTAAAAATAGTCATAATCATGTTTCAATTGAGTAGAAGAGAGTACAACTGAGAAACTGGAATAAATGTGAAATATCTCAATACATAAGAGTCAACTGAAATAGTATTAAGGCACACATCCTTCCCAAAATAAAATACAACTCTAATATCTAAAAATAAATCATAACTACTTTGGAGCACAATAAACTACTAATAATAAATAATGATGGAAGCTAAGTTGAAACTCCATCAACCTACAACTCTCCGTATGCCTGACTCGCTATCTGAAAAGAGGAAAAACAACGAGCGTTAAAGTGCCAACGAGAACATCTACACCACCCCCAGAGGGAAGGGGTTAGGAGTATAAAATACAAGTTAGTACATATATGTATATAAATCATCTATCCTGAACTAAGAGGAAATTAAGATTTAGAGATCCACAACACGAGAATTAGTACGTCGAGCGAAATAATCCAAACAAGGAAACTCTCATGTATATACGAAGTTTCAAATTGTAAATCGCTAAATCTCAACTCCAAATTCTATGAATAAAATAATAAATAAAAGAATAATACATTATCAAATCTTATTAAATACAAGTCACGTCAAATATCTCACACTATCCTCGGGTAGGTGGCGTAGTCACAAGAATAAACATCCTCTGGTAAAATAAAGCTCACATAGAATATGTCGTGTATGACAACCTCAGTCTTATACTCTACTCTCGGGTAAATAACATGGGAGCATGAATGCAAATCTATATGATCTTCTAACAAAAAATAATGATGCTGAGTAAGACGCTCATAATATACTGTGATATCACCTACCTTACTCAATCGCCCTGTGAAAATAGGCGTGTCAACAATGATGCACATGGAGTGAAGTCTACCGCAGTCTCATTGCAGTATACCAACTAACGCACTCTGAGTGTAGTCCCCCGTGGTCTTATTGCGGAGTGTCAACTAACCCACTTAAGCATCCAAACTATCATGAAATGCAATATGTGTCACTCTCTATCATGACAAATGCAAAGTATAGAGAAAGTACCTCCAAACGCTCGTGCGTGCTCAAACTCCAATACGCGTACCCTCGTGTACGACGCACATATATTGATGTGCGATTCGTACTTCGTGTGTGCGAACAAAAAATGTGAGAAAAGAACAAAGGTTCACAAAAATGTCCAGACCAGTCGACCGATCATGTGCTATCGGTCGACTGATGGCTTGCACAAAGCGTGCACAACATCATTGATCGGTCGACCGATGACCCATGATCGGTCGACCGACCAGAGCTTATTCGAAATTTCTGATTTGTCATCATCAGTCGACTAATCACCCATGATTAGTCGACCAATCTGGGCACAAATTCAATTTTTAGGGAAAATTTGTAAGTTCTCATATATTTATCAAAACTCGAAAACTTCTCAATAAGGCTCATGTATAAAACTTAAACCAACATATTTAGGGTTATACCTACTTCATAAAAACACAAAAAAAAATCGATTTAAGGGAATCTAATAACCCTAGCATGCTTCTAATTATAAAACCATCAATAAAACAACTATCTTAAACAAAAACTCATCTTAGATCATGTTCAAAACTTAAATCCAAATCTAAGAATTCATTTTATGTCTTTTTAAATAAAAAAGATTAGATTTTTATATCGTACAGTTCAAAAAGAGTAATCTTTGTACATAATCTAGGTTTTAGAAATCCAACAAAACCAATTTAAACCAAACAAAAACAGGGGATGAGTTTGGAGGAGATGAAACTCGTCTTAACAAGTCGTGCTAAACTTCCAAACACGCGTGAGAACGATCCTCCTTCACCAAAAGACGCGGATCTCGCCCTCTTGATTTTCGCTTCTCAAAACTCTCAAAATTCACCAAAATAAGTTTTAGGGTTTTGAGGGAAGAGGGTGGCTGATTGTTCATGTGAAAAAATCCAAGAATAAGGGAAAAATATCGGGTATATATACTTATGTACACAAACGGGCCGAACTGAAACAAAACTGACCCGAAAACAGAACTCTAGTTCGTGCACCCGTCGGTCGACCGATGGCTTGCCATCAGTCGACTGATAGGCACCTATCGGTCAACCAATGCTATATGTTCAGTCGACCGATCAACATATAATTCCTGCCGACTGTTTTCACTTATGCGTGCATGTTTACACTATTAAACATATGTATTTGTACTTAATCGATCTCAAATCGATTACAATCATACTCATTCATCTCAGAATAATATCAAACATGATAAAAATTATTTAATATTATTTTTCACAATATATTTAAATTTATGGGGTTTTACACATGGCAACTTGCTCTCATCAATGCTACAAAATGTTTCAATATAAGGTACCAACAATCATTCATATAGACGTCACGTCTCCCATTCGGTTTCAAAGGGCATTCTTAATAATTTTGATTTCCGAAAATACTATTGCAACGCTTATCATTGAGACAAGCAAGATTGATGCCAATTTCACCAACTTGAACACGAAGGATATAAGATCATGATGAGTAGCTACACGAGAGATATAGTTCTAAAGTTGATCACTAAGCTCCACAAAATCTATTTTTAAAAAAATATTTAGGATAAAACTCGACCAATAAAATCAGTTTTTCCTTATCAAATAAAAGAGAATGAATTACTTGGTTTAATACATGTCACTCAAGAAAGAAACTCCATATTATGATTATCAACATGGTTGTTCAATTCTTGAGATAAGAATCTATAAGATTTGTAGGCATTTGAACCCACACTTTATTCTACCAATCACAAGATCACGTTCTGTATTCTGCATTGAGAAAGAAGTTATGAGAAAGTTTAGAGATAGACGTTCTTATATTTTACTCCCTATAATTATGTTAGCTATCAGCCATCAGGTACGCCTATTTACACATTGTTTCAGTTGTCAAGGGGCGTCCATGGCCCATTTGACCCCTTAGTAGCTCCGCCCCTACGTGTTTTTTGTGTAGATATAGTACTATGATTTTGGACAATAATAAAATAAAATATGTTTGTATTTTTTTACTTGGTTTCCAGCCTAAGTCTATGATTAGTAAACATTGTCATGAGTGTAATGCTCCTATACAAAGAAGGGGTGTTAGACAACAATTGTAAATGATTAGATTCGAGGATAGAATTATGTGTATTTCATCTGAATGTATATATATTTGACTTTATAAAGTTTATTTATGGTTATATATATATATATATATATATATATGTGTGTGTGTGTGTGTGTGTGTGTGTGTGTGTGTGTGTGTGTGTGTGTGTGTGCGTGCGTGCGTGTGCGTGTGCGTGTGTGTGTGTGTGTTTCATTTGAATGTATATATATTTGACTTTATAAAGTTTACTTGTGTGTGTGTGTGTGTATTTCATTTGAATGTATATATATTTGACTTTATAAAGTTTACTTATGGTTATATATATATATAAACCTATTTTTAGTTAATAATATAAAAAATAGTTAGTTTTTGTCAATCATCTTATATACTTTTTTTAGGTAAATACCACTTCACAAATTAATAACTGTCAGATATGTACTATGGTGGACGCGCGTGTTGTGCACGTGTTGCACCAATATTTTCTTTGGAGCGGTGTCCTAAATGGCATAAGATTTATGCTCTGTTTTTTTAACCACTAGTCTTTGTCCTGTCTTCAACTTGGGACCTTGCATAAACGACCCAATCAGTTTTACCAATGAGGCAACTCAGGCAAGCGTTAGTAATTAGTAGCTTAGGTTTTGTTCTTCATTTTGGTTTTAGTAACAAAAAAAAAAGAAGACTCCAAAATTTGTGTTTATTACGAAAAGTATTCCAAGTCTCGGTACAAAACAACTACTCAACTTTTCTTTTTAAATATCTTTAAGCGTCAAACAAGACGGCAAGATAGTAACTTAACATCTTTTACCTTTGTATTAAAGACCTACATTCTCCTATTTTAGAAAGAGCAACCTCTGTACATC